CTTCGAAGTGCGACTAATGATACTGGTGTCGATTCTGGCATGAATCGAAGAATCGACATCATTATAATGAAAAAATATGCGATTAAGCTTATGGATATTTTTTGTGGCAAGAACGGTTTATAGGTTTAAGCATTAAGTCAAATCTGTGAAGTGTGCCAAAATCTTTTATTTTTCTTAATTTCTTATTTAAGGAAGGCAAAGGATGTTAAGTACAAATCCTAATGGTTAGGAAAATAATAAATAAATGGTTTTAAAGTAGGAGACGGTTGTAAATGTAATTCATTATGTACTTAAATCTAAAGTAAAGTAACAAAAAATTCAACGCGGACCAGGGATCACACGGGACTCGAACCCGCCTTTGCTTGCTATCCTACCTACCCTCTGAAACCTATCCCTCAGGTATGATGTAATAAGATCCACATTGGTATCTCTAAATCCATAGTGGTGGAGTGTCCTGAGTAATGTTTCATGAAAAACGCAATCAAAAGCCTTGGACAAGTCGCAAAACACCAGAGCGTCCTGCGAGTTTTCCCAGGCGTAAAAACATTGTTATTGTTGTATGTTCAGTGTCCGTGATGCTAGCGTACCCACGATCAATATACGGTTTTTCGTTATGCCATTAAATACTGCGTAAATAGTGCCAAATTAGTGTAAAAATAAAAAAAATAGTGCCTCTTTAATTTAAGAAATAAAGACCATTTTTACTGTGTACGCTACCATGACGTCAAGCTAGCGTACCCATGGCCGACCCCAAGAACGGCATATATTTAAGCAACGAAATTGACGCACAAAAATAGTTCGCAAATAGTGCCCTGGCTTTACAAAATTTCATAATCAATACTCTTAAAGGACCAAAGATATTAAACTAAACATTCTTAGCTGGCCTCAACCTGGCGTACCCATATTAGTTCTCATAGAAAATGAACTTTTCTCGTTATTAATTCTATATGTATAAATAGTGTGTCAAATAGTGCCTCTAACAGTAAAAGTATTTTATGTGAATTCACAGTAAAACAATATAAAAAAAGCAATTAAATTATTTTTATATATAAAGTACAGTCATGTACAGAAGTGATAATATTTTCGTAGTATAGTAGGTAAGTGAGGTACTTAGTAGGTAGGTTCAAATTATTATATGAATTTATGATTGGTGAATTCGAATTGAAATAAAATATCTTTTTATAAAAAGTACCTATTTATTTTAGTAAAAATACATATATAGATAATCTCTTAGTGCATAAATTAATTTTGTGTGCTACAGTACATTTGTTCCTAGAATTTAAGATTCTCTTTATGTATTGTTGTGATGCGGATTCACTTAAAATACTTTTACTGTTAGAGGCACTATTTGACACACTATTTATACATATAGAATTGATAACGATAAAAGTTCATTTTCTATGAGAACTATTATGGGTACGCCAGCTTGACGCCAGCTAAGAATGTTTAGTTCAATATCTTTGGTACTTTAAGAGTATTGATTATGAAATTTTGTAAAGCCAGGGCACTATTTGCGAACTATTTTTGTGCGTCAATTTTGTTGCTTAAATATATGCCGTTCTTGGGGTCGGCCATGGGTACGCTAGCTTGACGTCATGGTAGCGTACACAGTAAAAATGGTCTTTATTTCTTAAATTAAAGAGGCACTATTTTTTTTATTTTTGCACTAATTTGGCACTATTTACGCAGTATTTAATGGCATAACGAAAAACCGTATATTGATCGTGGGTACGCTAGCATCACGGACACGTATGTTCAACACCTGCATCGGTTGTTGAGTGATCCCATTCAAACCAAATTGTTTACAGTGAACTATTTTATTGTGATTGCATTTGATCTACCATATTTTTTTCAAAAATGTTACAAAAGTTGTGTAGCATAGAAATTGGTCTAAAGTTGTGGGCTCTAATGTACTTCACTCTTCACTGGAATGGAAATCTATGCTTACACCCACCTTCACACTGAACTTTGAGAGTGTTTAATACTGGTGTTACGGTTTGGTGTGACAGCGGTACCACGCTGACAGCGAGCTAATTTATGTCACAGAGTACCTTTTATATATATTATGTTGCGTCGATTCTGGCACGAAGACCAATATTTTAAGCATATGTTTGAATGATTGAAGGAGTCATGAGCGGAGTCACTTAAGTGGGCTATGACCTTTAACGTGCCTTTCGAAGCACGAAGGAGTTCGAGTTAATAAACTCACCCATCGATGGCCGGTCATTGCGAAAGTTGCTAAACTTTCACGATCGCAGACCAAACGCGCCAAATACTTGCGCCATTGAGCTCCTCGAATGTAAGGTAATCCTTAAGCCGCGTATCCACTAGAGGCAGCCTCGCGTCGAGCGACCTCGACTTGAAGCAAATAGCCTCAGTTTGAGGCTGCTCGCTCTGAGGCAACGGTTGCGGATCAGCTCGAGGCGTGTCGCCTCAGCTTGATCCGCTGGCGGCGCACTGCGCAGTTCAAAGCCAAAACGCGATGGCACCAGACGCGCGTCGAGTAGCTGCTGCTTTAATAGCAATATCCATTATTAAGAAAAAGAGGAGGCAACAAAAAGCTATACAAAAGAGGAAGCATCGCTGGTGGATAAAAGAATTATACCGTAATAGAACTATACATGGATGTGAACACTTGCTATTGGACATGACGTTGGAAGGTGGCGATAGCTTTCGAAATTTTAGCGACCGTCTCCATTAAACACACGGTTCGGACTGAGGCGCTTTTGAGCACAGCACAGAAACCGACAAAATATGGCTCGGCTCGCGGCGACGAATTTGCCTCGCGTCGCGGCGTGCCTCAGGTTGAGGCAGCGTCTCCACTTGCGCAACCTCGGAGTGAGGCAGCCGCTCGACCCGAGGCTGCCTCTAGTGGATACGCGGCTTTACAGGTAATAGAAACACAATAAATGTAAACAAGAGTTTAAAAATTTATTCTTTAATAATTATATTCAATATCATACATAGTAATAATATGAAAATCATCTAATATACATTACCACATTTCTCAATACTTTAAATTGGAAGTCAAATTAGGTAAAATATGAGTGATACTAAAATTAAGTGATGATGATAATTTTTTACAATGTAAGGCTAAAAAAAGATGACATGTATAAATAATTTTATTTATTTACAAATATAATTAGGTAGTACCTATAATGATGATGGATGACCGATGAAAGATGATTAAAGAATCTTCAATGAATAAGACTAGATTAGTTCTACGTCGAGACACGCTCACAGGAGTGAAAAATATATCATTTAGGAAGTATGAAGTATAGGTACTTAATTTATGCACCCTGTTACACTATCGACGCGTAAGTCTACACTCTATGCTGTCTTCTGGCTCATGGACTTAAAAAAACTGGATTTTATTCTACTTTTTATTGTGTTCACGGAAACGAGTTAGTGGAGTACTTTCTTTATCACACAATCGCTTAACAAGCGCCAAGGATGGATAACTGTAAACGTTTAACTAAGACTATACAATCCGGCCAATGGCAGAAAAGCTTAGCTATTCTCGGAACTACTTCCGTTACCGTGGTTATGCATTATGCCGATATTTTGGGACAGTGAAGTCCAGATGCGAAAATAGAAGCAGCTAATGCGGACAATTTAGACTACCAGCAAGCCTTTCATTAACTTTTCCACAAAATAAAACTCAACAAAATCTAATGTGCAGTGTCTAGGAGAAATTAAGTACCTATCTAGTAAGTTCACTTTTAGAGAGGAAGAAAGATTCTAGTTACTTATATAATTTTGAATACTAACAGATGCCTTAGATGATCTAGACAGGTGCCAATCATATTAATATTTTTATCAACCCTTTGTTTTAAGATAAAATTCTGGTACAAAATACTCAACAAAAATATTTAAATGGATTAAATCCCTGTTTCACAATATTAAGTTTTTATGTTTCATTTGCAGGGGTAAGAGCTGAGTGCCCGATAAAAAGATAAGCGAGTGATTCGCGGTTTGGAACGTGCAATAAGCAGGAACCCAAAGCGCTGGCGATGCGTGCGTCCATTATTTGTTTGTTCAGTTTTAGAAGCATACATTTCGTTCATATGACCAACGTTGGAAGCGGAACGGTTTCCTTTTATTATTAATAATGTACATTAATTGTTGACTTAAGTATCTTTTGCTGTAGCGAAGCTATGCTTCATAAACGGTTTCCACTCAGATCCTACCCATCGCGTTGCTCGACGAAAGGAACTAAGTAGCGTAAGGGCGTGCATTACAGACGCACGCCTCTACGCTGAGTACCTAATTGAATAAAATAAAACTTAACAAGAAAACCTCTTCACCGCCATAGTAATACTTATCAAATTAGCTTGGCTGACCGAAGGAGAGTTGTGTAGTTCCTATTGGTGAACTAAAAGTCTGATAAATATCTGTTCGCCATCTTAAACAAGATTGAACTGCGTTCTAATTTCTAAAAACCTACATTTTAATTATTCCTACTTTTGTTCACCAAATATAACTTTATAAAGCTTGACGCAAGCGATCTCTCAATATTAAGACTTTCAAAATGGAATGAACACTTCCAAAATACTGATTAATATAAACTCTATAGCTTATGAGAGTAATGTACAATCGTTTTGTGTAACACTTGGTTCCTATTTGGTATTCTATAATTCACTTGTATCGCAGCTATTTAAAGTGAATTGTAGACATCTAATTTAAGTCTCATATAATAAGGCATAGTTGTTGAAGATCGCCAGCATTAAGTCATAATAATTATAATGTTTAAGTCCTAGTCGACGTCCAGGTTGTCCCTGGTATAGGACACGAGAGACCAAAGAAATGATGATGCGCCCATCTGTTTGTTCAGTTCTTGACGCGTGCATTTCGTTCGTGATACTAAGTCGAAAAGCCCAAATTCAGGAAATCTTAATAAATAAAATATTTATTAGGAAGTACACAATTGTATAAATGGAACAAAGTTTTTCGCAGGCATTTTTGTTCTTTAAATTCATGATAATAGGTATTTGCGATGGACTTGAATTATTATATATAATAAGCAATTTGATGCTAATTTACAATCTGACTCGGAACTTGTTACAAAAAAATGAGAATATAAATCTGTTTATTTCCAAACAAAGGCATTTTCACTCACTATCAGTTCCCGTATCTGGCTCGAAGGACCATGTCGACATAACCCGCGTCTACGTTACCCAAAACTAGTGGTTAAATTGGACCCTAATTACCTGTACTATATTTAAGTAACGTAAAAGCTTTATAGGAGTTATACTCTCGCGTTGTCGTCTGAGTTCTGAGGGGGCACGGGGGGCGGAGGGGCGTGTAGAACCCTAGCTAGTTCCGCTTTCTCGTCAGCGGAGAGGACGTAGACTGGAGGGGCGGGGGGAAGGAACCTCTCCGCTTTGTGAGGTTCTCGCTGAAGCCGTGCTCTATATAGCATGACGAGGACGCATAACACGCTGATGATGAAAGCAGACGTCGCCGCCAGCACGATCAGCGCGGTGTGGTAAGACGTCGCAGCTGACACCTGCCCAATTCAAAGTGAAACTCGTCAATGGATTAGGAAAGCTGCGTGCATTCATAAAGGTTATTAAAGCGTTTGCTAGCTATTCTATTAAACAACTACCTACGTATTATTTTGCCCAACCTATTTACAATCTGGATGGTGTAAATGAAAAGTTAAATTTTGTAATAACTATTTATTTAGAAAAATAACAAAACGTTGATAAGTAACAATTTTTAAAATAATCGAAAAATAATTTACTAGTTATCAAAAATAAAACATCTGCAAGAACAACTTAACTATGAATATTAATAATTCTAATGATAAACTTTTAAGTAACCTTGTGTGTATTCGTACCCCATAATATATGACTTCCACAAAATCAAATATTTCCTTAATTAAATAAGATCACTTTTGAACGAACTTACACAAAGAAGCTTAAGGTACAAAGACTGATAACAAATATTAAGTAAATACCTAAGTAGTTAGCTACTTAACGTCAATATAAAAATATTGTAAAACGATTTTTTGCTGGAAATTTTATGATTTCAATTAATAAGTGGACGTTACGTCAGTAAATAACAATTAGGTATTTGATATTAAGCAAATACTAAAACTACTTAATAATGGTGTCGATTCTGCCATGATTCTCCAATCTAAACCTAAACTTGAATTTGACAATAGTGTATCCTTGTCTATCTCTATACAGAATGAAAAGGAGATACTGATGTTAAATTTAGTTAAGATAATCATTTCAGAATCGACACGAATATTCGTTTTCAAATCTTGAGCTTTTCAATAGTACGCTTAAGCTTTGAAAGTGCTCGCGCTATCACGCATCGTAAGGTGTAGTGTTACAAACAAACATTCATTAGGTAGGTATGTGAGTTGGCTAAGTTTAGATATTTTATGCTGCGTGTAGATTTATTTGTAACGCAGCATGCAATGCAACTGAACATAGTGTGTTAAGTGTCCGTGCATCGTTTCAGCGCGAATGCCATGTCGTATATTTACATCCTGTTGAGTCAACATGAAAATTGTTGCAACAGATAATGCAGAATGTATAGCAACTCTAATGCCACATAATGTAATATGCACCGCAACATCTAATGCCATGCATTGCATGTTGCATAGCATGCATGTTGTGTTACATTGCGTTGCTTGACTTAAAACGTTGCATTGCATACATGCTGTGTCACATAGCATACATACTGCGTTAGAATGCATGTTTCAAAAAAATGTTACATTGCATGTTGCATTCGTTTGCATTGCATATTGCAATGCATGGCATTAGATGTTGCGGTGCATAAGATGCACCGCATATTATGATATATACATAAAATATTATTTTATTACGTGTCATTAGATGGCTATAAATTCTTGCATGTATTATCTGTTGCAATGCATGTTGCGTTGCAGCTTATCCGGACGCAGCTTAAAGCCAGGACTCCTGCGCCAATTTTCTAACCAATTTCGATTAGCCAATTTTGGCGATTGGATAAAACTTGTTTTATCAAACTGAAGTTACTGAAGTTAGCAAAACTGTTAGGCCAAACGCCTAATGGGTTAACAAACAGTGTTATCGTATTAGCAAATATCGAAAACACGGCGCAGGGGACCCGGATTAAGATATAGTTTTGGTTTTCCAGTGAAATATTGATAGGAAGTATAAGTGTCGGATACTAGTAGTCAGGATCAGAAGAGGCAGTACGTACAGTGGACTCGGTGAGGATCTCGCGCTGCTGCAGTGCGGGCGGGAGGCTCGCGAGCCGGTATTCGCTGCGGATCACGTCTGCTCCCAGGGTTGAAGTATCATCGCTGTTCCTGTTCGAGCCAGCCAGCTTCTCCTGCTTCACCTACGGGAAATGTGGTTCGTTTATCAGCCTAAGCCTGTTAAAGTCCCCACTGCCACGGAACAGGCTTTCCCTCTAGATAGTAGAAGGACATTGGACCATGACCTAAAACTTAGGCCCTGTGTGTGTAAGTATATGCCGCCGTAGATTTACGAACTGATGGCGTAGCTTCTAGACATTCATAAGTGCCTGTAACAGCCTAATACACTGAATAAATGATTTTGATTATGATTATGCTAATGACTACAGATGACCAGGACCATAGGCAAGAACAATGAAGCTAGGAAAGTAATATTTCGGTGACCCATCCCACAATTGGCCATTGATACAGTTTCTTAACTAGTACGATCGCAAACAAAAAGCGCTTACCATTTCTGCCATTGAGTTCCTCTTAAGGTTCTTTAGTTACAATATTTCTCTGTGATATGTATAGGTCACTAAGGGCCGTAAAAGAAATCTAAAGAGTTGTCTTATTCAAATTTCATCGAAAAGAAAGAGACAGCACATTAATCACTCATAAAATTTTAAATTTCACGACGTAACCACGTCCACTGCCCTTGGTCCCGTGAAAGATGCTCGCAGTTTCACCATGACTTTCTCCTTAGCTACGGTGACGAGAACCCGCGCTCCCAGTAATGCTAAAACAGTGCTGAACGCAGACGGAACTCACTTTATTTTAACAGGTTAGCAGAAAGTCTCATCAAGTTCTTGACATAGTAAAAGACATTCACAGTCCTCTGCCCGGTAAAAGTTACTCGCAGTTTCAGTATATCCTTCTCCTAGGATATGGCGATTGAGACCCGCTCCCCTAGTGACGACCGACAGGGACTATGCGCAGACCGAGCTCGCTTAATTTTAACAGATTAGCGGAAAGTCTCATCAGGTTCTCGATATGGTAAACGATGTCCTCAGCCCTTGGTCCCGTGAGTGTCGCCTTCAATTTCACCATGCCCTTCTTCTTAGATAAGGTGGCGGGGACCCGCGTCCCCAGCAATGCTAAACGAGCGTTGACGAAACTACTTTATTTAAACAGATTAGCGGAAAGTCTTACCAGGTTTTCGATACTGTAAACGTCGTCTACAGCCCTTGGTCTGGAAAGAGTAGCCCGCAGTTTCACCATGCCCTTTTCCTTAGCTAAGGTTACGGGGACCTGTGCCCCCAGCAATGCTAAATGAGCGTTGACCAAAATCGATTTATTTTAACAGATTAGCAGAAAGTCTCACCAGGTTCTCGATATGGTAAACGACGTCCACAGCTCTTGGTCCCGTGAGTGTCGCCTTCAATTTCACCATGCCCTTCTCCTTAGATAAGGTGACGGGGACCCGAGCCCCCAGCGACGATAAACGAGTGCTGAGTGCGGACCGTGCCCGTTCAGCTACTGGGCTGTCTACCCCAACCAACTCCAGTTCGAGCAACGCTGACTCGATTTGCGTAAGTTCTGTGAACAAATAAAAAAAATTGTAAGCCGAATCTACGTTCTTTGTCTCTAACTATCTAACCTCTAGAGAAGTTTTAGCGAAGGCGAAGAAATTTTACGAAAATTATTGTAACAATTATTTTTCTTTTGCATTCCAAATATTATATCTTTTATTTTCAATAAATGACTTCAAAAACCTAGAATGAACAGTCTCAAGTGATTCTCAAACAAGTGAATCTGTCTTGAGATGATAGGATCTTAGAATATTGGCATTGCAATGGTTCTGACTACCTTATTCCAAAACGCGAACTAAAGTTAGTCTTGGTTTAAACCTAATGTTGTCTCGATCTTCTTTTTAGTGAGACCGCACACCGGAAACACAGGGTACGTGCATGCAACATTTACCTTGCCACAATACGCACGCAACATTTTTGCTTTCATCTCACTACTAAATGCACCGGCTACAAATGTGTCCTTGGTGTGCGTGCTTACACGTAGATATTATATGAGAGTGTTAAATGTATGCGGCTCGCTTTAGTAAACAAGAGAGAGACAGCATTAGTTTAAGTCTAGGTTAAACTTTAGTCTACGTTTTTTAATAAGGCGGATTATGATTAACTGAAATGAAAACTGGTGCAACATCAGCGTTTAATGCCGCCCACACTCACCGCACGGGTCCGGCGCGGGCAGGTCGGGCACGGCACCCGTGTGCGTCCGCCGCTGGCCCGCCGCGTCTACGCACCAGCAGCGGCCGCGGGAACATTGCCGCGCTGCGAACGACCCGTCCGACAAACAACGGGGTCTGGGCCCATCGCCACCTGCAGGATAATATATAAGATTTAATCGCGAACTTGGCCTTTATACATCTATCTTGGTATAGAAAATGGGGGTCAGCTATTCATAAAAAGTAACGTAATAAATATCTCGCCAAAAGGTAAGCGATCACCAATTATTAACAAGATAGACGATTGCAATACACTTGTATATCTGTATGCACGTTCTCAAGTGTGGTACTTATGACGTAGCATTTTCCAGGTTAAAGTCAATGGTTTAAGCTAGTATTTAAAGACTAACAGAACGAGGAAAAGAGTTTTTACGACAATCCTGCACGGTAGAAAGAGATGCAAGACGATGTGAATGTACCTTTGCTCATATAAAATTTCAGATGCAGCAAGAAGTGACCTGTCAAGCCGTACTATGATCATGGTTTAAGTTTTCCATTTAATAGTTGATGTCTAGTCTGCCTGATTTTTACTCAAATACTTACCATTTTCACTTTCCTCCTGCATCAGTTGGCATTTGGTTTTGAACAAGCTCTTTTCAGTTTTCACTTCCACATCGTTCGACTTCTTAGTAACCTCTGCTACCCTTGGCTCCACAATTTCGGATAGTACTGCCGCGTCGTCGTTCACTTCTTTCTCCTTTTCCTTGGGATCATTTGCTACTGGCTCTCTTGCTTCCGGTTCAAGATCTATGGTATCTAAATCATCATCGTCGTCGTGGAAATCATCCATACGATAAGCTGTCATTTGTCTTATAAGTTCCTCTAGAACTGCGAATAAAATAAGTGAAAGTTTAAAAAAAACAAGGTCCAATCAATCAATCCATACAAGTTAGGCTAGAAATTCAATGTAACTAATGTAGGTGTTACAAAAGCTTGCTCAATACGTAGATATGAAATTTTTATATTGTAGAAATGATTATTTCCATCAAAATCGTTTCCATTTGCTAAAAACCTGAACTTTTTATTACAACAGTTCTCATGTTGAAATTATCCTATTCAAAGAGTGCTTGTTTTGTTTTATTAATTGATTATTTAAAAAAAAAAGGTAAGGACCTTTTTTATTTTTCTTACTTATGTAGATATATAGATAAACTGGTACCAAATGAATTTACTGATAATTTTTTGGGGCTTACCTTCATCGGCACGGGCTCGTTCGTCGAGAGGGTCTCGTCGGACCCACTTCCTTGCTTGTCTAAAGTTGCATGTGGGCTTAGCGCCGCGAACTAAGGAGCCTTTAAGGGGTTCACCACGAGCGCTCACGCACCAACACACGTCTGTAAATGATAAGCAAAAACACTTCAATAAGTCGTGTCATTAAAGAAAATAATCGAAAATGCCGACATAAGACAATCTGTCCATCTCGCATGTTACTTAGGATAGCATGTGCGAGAAGGACAGAATGTCTTACGTCGTTATTTTTGGGATTCCTTTCTTTAATGACATGAGTCATACCTGTAAAATATCGCTAAATCCTAGCCTTTCTACAGACTATAGACTGATTACTTCCTGAAAATCTACCTTGATTTATGATGGACTTTGTCAGCGAGGAAAAGGTCGTCGCCCACCGTGAAGCGTAAGTTACCAAAACTGAGTTGTTGAAATGTCTTCGAAATCACCAATTTTTTCTACGTATTTCAACCTTACAGTCTTGTCTATACAAAGTCATAGTTTTGATTTCAGATAGTGCAAAACACTCACTCTCTATTCGACTTGGCGACGAAATATTAATTGGCGATTTTTTGTCTTTTTCTTCCATGGGAAGACGTGCTCAGAGCATAGGAAATCAAATCTCAAAAAGCCAGAAATATTTTGAACTACTCATAAGCAATCGGGCTTAAAGAGATATTTCAATTTGGTGACGAGTCACAGTAGATACTCACCAATATGTGACATGCACTGCACAGGTTCCCAAGCGCCACTTTCATCGCATATCGGTATGAAGGTGCCTTTTCCGTACTTCTGGGCAGCTGCTTCGTTCTTCTCCCGTAGCCTTTCGCAAGGACTCAGCACTATAGAAGAGAATTTAAATATTTATGTTATTTTAAGTTCCCATGATGGTAGTTAATACGCGTGCATTAAGCGGGTACAAGGGTACAAATCATAGAACACAGAAAGAGGTTAAAAGGGTGATTATAGAACTGATGTCGCCGGTTCGCCACCACTACACTTCCACCTAATAGATAATAGCCAATCAAACGACGCGACATCAAACAATCGAACCAATCAGCGCTCATACCCGAGAGCAACGACGCAATCAGAACAAGTTTTGGTAAACTTATAAGGATTTGCTCATACTGTGTCGCGCCTGCCCCGCTCTTCCCTTCCAAACGCTTTCGGCATTCTGTGATACAAATAATAAAGAATTTCAATTGTTAGCGAGTTAGATTGGAAATGCTTAGGTTCAATAGTGAGCGATTATCTTATTTGGTGGATCAAGGTATACAGGAATCAAACGTGTAGTTTGAGCAAAGAACCATGTTAATTTTGCAGTATTTATTGATATTATCTAATTCTGGCTATTGCTGGTTTTGTTAATAGACTAAATAAGATTAATTTGCAGATTGCTAAGCTTTTAGAATTTAGTGCGATAATATAAATATTTAGGTAAATACAGTAGTAAGCTTTGGTCACTGAAAAAACATTAGAGTAAAATTAAGGTGGTATTAGAACAAAGTGCTAAATGATCAAAAGTGTTGTTAAGTTTTTGATGCTTTTGTTAATTTATATCTAGTTTGCGACACCAACAACACATAATTATAGTATTATGGAACACATGCCTTCTTCTTTTGGATTCGGTGTCTTCTTCCGAAATAATTTGGCGTTTTCCCCGTCATGGACTGTTTTAAAAGTAAATAAGATAGGTAGTTAGAAGGTAGAAAAGATAGTTTTTATTAATTCAGTAGTTACACTATTAAAAAAATAGATTTGATGATGTAAGTAGATATGTCAGAGGATAGCTATAAGTATATACAGTAGATTCCCAAGCTCTTAAAAGTCGCAATTGAAGTACCTACACAAAGCAATGTATTCTTGTAAGGAGAGAAGAAGACATTAAGTGTATTTACAGTATTGAAATCTTCATTGGCGATGATATTAATTGTGACCTAGTTATTATTTCCATACTTGCTTATAAGCTTTTTAATTTTGGATATAAATCTTATGGTTAATAAAATAACTTATAGTTAAAAAGCTACCGCTGAAAAACTAAGATAACTATGAATATTTAGAAAATATACTCATCAAAAAAATCTTAGCAACATTTTGTACGGTTTTGAAATTTTGAACGATTTTGACTATTGTACTGAAATTAAATTATATACTTTATTCAAATTGACTTATTCAAAGCTCTTTTGAATCGTCCAATATTTTTTCCTACCCATTCAGGATATCTTTTAGCTGATGAGAAAAATGGGCGCAAGAAATTCATCAGCGTTTAACAGTAGTAGCAACATTAACCAAAAATAACATGTCGCTACCAATACAATGGTCAATAACCAATCAAACTAATAATCTTCTTTGCTAAGAAAATAACTAAACATCAATAGGCTAGTTGACCCTTTTTGGAAAAAGGTTTTAAATGGTTAATAAATGTTCTATTAGACCGAAAAAAAATGTATTGTATTTTTTTTAAACCTAGAAAGCTACAGATCTTTAATTTTAAAATAGACTTTTCATGGACATACAAAAACGCTGTCGGCCATTTTAGTCTATAGATTATCTATGCTATGACGTGAACTGTGGTAAACAAAATCTCGTAAACACGTAGAAAATTACTTTTAACTGAGTTTATGATAAAAAAAACATGATTTCTAATAAATACCACGAAAAATAAAATAATTATCATTACTGTATTGTACGAGAATATAAAAACACATCCTTGAAGACTCCAGGAAAGTTGTGGATTAAAGTGCCGAAAGAAATTAACCTACGCAACTTTATAACACTTATTCATATGTTGTATCTGTTTTATGTTTATTACTACATTAAATGTAGCAATACAATACAATGTAACATTGTAATACTAAATGCACTGTACTTACATAGATGCCTTGACGTTTCTCTGCTCCGCAGAGCAGAAATCGGGGTTTAGTGCAACAAATTCACCAACCATCAATGCGTCAATTCTTGGCAGATTTGTGCTTTCTGCTTTCACAAAGCCGGCATCCATAATTAGTTTTGTCAAAAAAAACTAAGTTTACTGTTTTTTTCTTTCCTAAAGTTAAAAGTGTTTTAAGATAAATTTAGTCAGACGAAAGAATCCACCTACAGTAACACGCGAATGACATTATTAGTTGTTTACCACAAGAGACGTCAAAATCATGGCGGATGTGGCGAACAGCGTTTTTAGTGTTTAAAAAATATAGACTAAAAAATATTTTTTAAAATTAAATTTCTACAGCAATCTTCTGTTTTTATGAAGTGAAATCGATATATTCAGGTTCCTTAGACTAAATACTTTAAGAAATAACATTTATTTAATACAATTAGACATGAGTAAACTAGCCTATTAATAAAACATACAATTTCTGTAAATGATGCGTGTTGCTTCGACTTTTTTTATGTGTGTATATTAAAATATCTTGCATCAGCTTTATTGAATAGTCGTCTAAATCTTCGGGCGAATGAGACTACGAGGTTTTGGGACAGCAGTTGAAGCCCACATAATACAGAATATCATATTGTATTCCCCGTATTCCCTGAAGTACTAGGAGGAGTAACTATACATTTGACGCGTAATAATTGTTTTGTTTTCAATGATAAATTCGACCGTTTGAATGTTTGTGTATCACTTACCGGGACAGACGGCATTGCACTCCTCCTTGGTGCGGAAGTTGTTGTGGTTCCCTGAACAACCTTGGTAGCGGAACCTCTCGCAGCGGTTGCGTTCGCGGTTAAAATGCCATCGGGTCGCGTTCAGACCCTCACTGTTGGAACAAGAGCCCTCGTCCTTGCTCTCGAAACAAACGGTGCCTACAAGAAACAAGTAAAAACTTGTAAAAGCGCATTGCAATTGTTTTACCGCATCAAAAGTCACTGAATTTCGGTGTTTGCTTGCTTTATTGCGTTGAACTTTGTCATGCGATGGACTCGGTACCGCATGGAAAGCCTCTCAATTACTGAAACGCTTCATAATTAAAGTAGTTTCTTATTAGGCTGACCAAGTCTATTGCGACTGTACCTAGTTACTATAAAGGACATTGATTTGATAATCGTCGTTTTTCTCTTAGATGTGGAAGAGATTTAATGATGGACCTTACGCGATTATCACGGATTGTTTGTTTGTAACCACAAGGTATAACCATCAAGCTCATGGTGACGTAGCTCATATGGCTTTGGTACTAAAATGAGCTTAAATTAGCGTTCGAGTTTTAAATTATGTACGATCCTTCAGCTGCTCATACAATTTTTTTGTTTTCTGCAATCTGTTAGCGTGTCAAATTACCGTCTAGCAGAAAGACACGCAGCCCGCTTATTCTTCCGTAAATTTTTACATTTTTTTCGTCACGTACACAGAACATTTAGGTACGTTGATTGCACTATACTCACACCGCTTGTAGCAGCATACAACTGCGAACAGTGGTTATCCACCGTCAGGGCACGCGGTTGATGGCGCGTAACGGGCTCGGTGGGCGTTATGATGATACTATAAAGGTACTCACGCGGCTTTGGGCGGCACGTGGAATCGTGTGGCGCGAACCGGCACACATGCGTGAAGGTCATGGCTCAATCTCCCTATTCCATTAATAGGGAAAGCGTGAGCTCAAGCCGTTGGAACATGCATGGGTTGATAATGATGCTCACGCGGCTTGGGGCAGCACACCGCGGGCGTGGAGTCCGGGCCCCTGCCCCGAAGTCGGGATATTATGGGCTGACGATGACACGTGGCTTGTCGTGACCCCACCCTGGCATCTGTAATGGTTGTCCGCCGTCAGGGCATGCGGGTGATGGTGCGCAGCAAGCTAGCGGCGGGTACTTTAGCAGATGATGATACTATATACTCACGCGGCTTGGGGTAGCACACGGCGGGTGTGGCGTCGTGACCCCCATTCTGGTACCTGTAGTGGTGCCATAATCGGCAGATGATGATACTACATAATTATATACTTATGCGCCTTGGGGTAGCACACGGCGGGCGTGGAGTCGTGACCCCCATTCTGGTACTTGTAGTGGTGACATAATCGGCAGATGATGATACTATATACTGACGCGGCTTGGAGTAGCACACGGCGGGCGTGGAGTCGTGGCCCCTTTTCTGGTACCTGTAGTGGTGCCATTATTGGCAGATGATGATACTATATACTCACATGGCTTGGGGTAGCACACGGCGTGTGTAGAGTCGTGGCCCCCACCCTGGCAGCTGTAGTGGAGATAATATGGGTTGACGTTGACACTCACGTGGCTTGGGGCAGCACACGGAATGTGTAGAGTCGTGGCCCCCACCCTGGCAGCTGTAGTGGAGATTATATGGGTTGACGTTGACACTCACGTGGCTTGGGGCAGCACACGGCGTGGGTGGAGTCGTCGCCTCCACCTTGGCACCCGTAGTGGAGATAATATGGGCTGACTCACGTGGCTTGGGGCAGCACACGGCAGGCGTGGAGTCGTGCGGTGCGAACCGGCACGCGTGCGTGGAGGGGCAGGCGGCGGCGCGCGGGCCGCACGTCAGCGGAGCGGTGGCGCCGCCTGAACCTGGCACTTGCAGTGGTTGCCCGCCGTCAGGGCACGCGGGTGATGGCGCACAACGGGCTAGTGGCGGGCATAGCTCACCCTATCGTACAAAAACACATCCCATAATATATAATGAACGGAAAAGTAAGATTTTTGCACTCGGGAGTGTTAATCTTAAGTTGAAGCTGTCACTTTCTTTGCTATAACCGTACGTGAGACCACGCGTGAATTGATATAGAATTAAATTTTCACGTTCCTATATACTGATTATTTACTTCTTTTATCTTTAAGTGTCGCCGCACACGGGCCACACGCAGCCACAGCCACAAACGCCGCCACGAGAAGCTAGAAGCGGCTACTAAATTGGCTGATGCGCGCGACAGCGGCCGACTAAGGTTAGCGAGAGAGGGGTGGGGAATCGCGCGAGTGACGTGTGGCGGCGTTTTGTATCGGCGCATTAAGTGGCCGGTGCGGGCCACAAGAAGCGAGCAACGACGATTTGTAGCGTGTGTGGCGAGTTCATATAAAATGTATGAAAACTACAAGAAATATGCCGGTGGCGACGTTTTGTGGTTGTGGTCGGTGGCCCGTGTGCGGCGACACTGAAACTGCTGTATTTTTATATCTTAAAGTTTTTTCTTCTTTCGAATGCTCGACACTAGTGAATGTACGAACATCTCATTTGATGTTTTGGTTATCTACAATGGGTATAAATGGTGCTGGCATGAATCTGAATCTTAATCTTAATCTTAATCATATGCGACGTGCGTTCGATTGGGTGAGGGTAGTAGTGTGCAGTGGAACGGGATACAAACATCGCATTCCAAGGGCACCAGTTCGCAGGTTTCGTCGTCCCTGCACTTGGCCTCCGCGCAGGGGTCTCTACACTCGCACGTGGGGCAACCCTCACTGTCTAGTTGTCTTCCGTGAGCGCAGACCACTTCGTCGTTGCAGCCAGCGTCGGGGCATTGCGCTGGCGCATCGCAGGACGGGGTGGAATTCGTCGTCCGGGTGCCGGCAATCTGATTAATGGTGTAAGAGAAAAGTATTACAAATCACATGATGGAATGATCGCATCAATACCATTTGTTTTCATAATTACAGAACTTTTGCTGATAAATAATAGGGCTATTTACTTGGGGATATGTTATGTAAGACATACTTATCGAAAGCCATTAGATTAGATTTGATCGCAGCTCAACAGAAAAATGAATTTAATTCGTCATTCAAAAGTCGAAGCTAAACTTCTGGGTGCAAATAGTGCTGGATTAATCGATATGGAGATCCAATGAAGCTCCGTAACAATTTCATTTGAGAAAGCAATTTTATAGAGCTAGGGATTGCATAAAATACAGTGGTTATTTTTTTGTTCTACGACAAATATTGATGAAGTTATGACCAAGTTAGTAAACGAATTTTAGGCTGGCCGCGTGGTGACTGTGACGTGACAGAGCTCGGGCGCGAATATAGAGATGCTACTAAAGTCCGACCGGAGTGAACCACGATCGAGCTCTGTGACGTCACACGTTTCGACCGCCGGCGAATATTATCTACCATAAAATTAGTTATAAAATCGTAACGAATGATCCGATTTCGATAATTTAAAAAGTATATTAATAAAAAAGCTTATTAGATCATTATACTGTTGTTTTGATGACCTAGTAATGATCCTCATTGGCGTCGTACAGCTGATATGATGGTTACTCTTAAATGAAATACGATGCAGACTGAATGCTTTAAGTATTTTAAAAAAATTAACGCAATCGTAGGTCCATTAAAGTTTTATATGCTACCAACCTCATTTCCAGCAGGATCGACGCACCAGCACGCTTTATCCGTTCCCTTGCATTGAACTGTTTCGTAAGTTCCGTCATTTCTGCAAGTCGGCACCCAAGTCCATGCTGGTGGACTGCCACTCTCCGCCGCCATGTGTAGCGCTAGAGCCCTGGTGAATTTTAGATTCTTTAAGAATATGAATTACTGAAAAGCATTTGTGTCCAGTGAAGGATACACTCGTATCACTGAAATCGCTTTTTTAGGTACTTTCTCTAAATGACGATGCTGTCGATGTTATAGATCAAATCAGAGCCCGAAAGAAATTATAACTACAGAAAAGAACAACTATAACTACAGACAATTTTTACTAGAAAAAAATCCACGCGGACCTGGTAGCAGACGGGACTCGAACCAGCACCCTGCGCTATCCGGGCGAATGCATTGACCATAATGCTTTCGCGGCCCTAATGTCCGAGTCGAACTTTCTCTAGCATTTTTTAGGTTGTAAGGCAGAGGATTTTTTCTAGTAATAAAATTTCTTTAGATTTAAACATCTACTAGTTAAATGCTTAAAAATAAAAATAATTAAGTTTCACCGAGATTTTTTTATTTTATGAGCACTTTTGCTTAGACGATGTAATTTTCACGACATTTTGTGGCCTTTTTTACTAGGGATTGAAAAGAAAATTATTTTTGTAACTGTAACTACACTCAAATTTGAGAAACTATATAGTAGTGCATTTCAAAATGTTATGTGTAAGCGCGCGAGATATCATGGAACTGAGCCTGTTCATGGCGGCGCTCGCTACTGACTTGAAACCGGCATTTAGTTTATACTCGAAAGAATTCTATTTCTGGAAGTATATGATTTGTAATCTATACCATTTGAGTCATATTATGCTGTCGAGGCTGTCGGTATTGGCTGTAGCTGCAGTCGTTAGTATCCACCAATCTGCATTAGGCATCTGGTCTGTGCCCCAGCAGTAGGCATAACATAAAGAGATGGCAGGGCATCTCGCTCGCATTTTTATTATTACGATACCTTCTCTGCTGGCAGGCCGTCTGGCTCGCATTATTATACGTTACGATAATTACTCTGCTGGCAGGCTCGCATTATTATAGGTTACGATACCTCCTCTGCTGGCAGGCGGTCTGGTGCTCGGTCTTAGTGCAGGCGGTGCCGCAGCCAGTGGCACAGCATCGCTCGCCGGCGCCGCACTCCGCGTCGCTGCGGCACGACCACTCGCACGCGCCCGTCGACGGAACCAGATACGGACATTGTCCTGGTTTCTTAGGGAGACCTGTATGAATTAAGATTGATAAATTTTCACATTTTAATTTAAAAAAAAATATCAGAAAGTAAGTATTTAAAGGTATTTGCCGCCATCTCTGGCATGTCGGTTTCAAAAAGGATACAATATTTCTATTCAGATTTCTTTAATTGATTTTACAAGGTATTAGTTCGATTGGTATTGTAAAGCAGGCATTCGTTCTTATGCGCCTTTAAAAAACATTTAACAATAATAGGAATAATCAATAATAGGCTTTATAAACTGGGATAAAAGAAAACAAAATTACGATAATAGGCAGCTTTATGTTGAAATTTTACAGGTATTTCAAAATATACGTGTATAAAGGCGAGTCGCAATTGCAAGTGCTCGAGCGGTCTATGTATATGTGTATGTAGAAGACTGTTTTTCACTATGCAGAGCCTGAAGCAGTCCATCTCGTCTACTTCAAGCTACCCGCGTATTACAGCTTAGGCGTTTGTTCTACTCACATGCAGGCACAGGTGGGCAATAGTCCGCATCGCAGGCAACGTCGACGAGGGCGCAGGTGCGGTCCTTGGGGCACGCCACGCCGGCGCACGGGTCCCGGCACCGGCACGTGGGGCAACGGCCTGGGCCCAGCTCGAACCCGTAGTCGCAGCCCATTCGGCACGTTAGGTCGAGGCAGGCTAGCTCCTCGCGCACTCTGCAACGGAATGATTTGTTGTTGCAGTACCGGTTCAAATATACTTCGAATAAATTGAACATATGAATCGATTTGACAGTTGTAAATCAAACCGGTAATGTTAATATTATTGTAGTTTGGAAGCTAACCACCGCGTGGACGCACTAGCAATGCCTACTGGCGCACTGCTGCGGCACGAACGAGCTGACACCAGTAATAAACTGGGAAAAATTCTATCCTGACTGTCATACTGCCACACACAGAAATAAATGTCACACTTTCAAAGTTCAATGTGAAGTTGGGTAAGGTGAATTCCATAATAGTGCTCAGGTTGGGGTTTTATGATTTTTTATAGTTTTTTGGGGGGGTCTGGATTGTAGCTGCTAAAGCTAGTTTCCACACTTGTGCTAGTGTTGCGATTGTATGAATTTTCATCGCTTTTGGGCTGAGGAGTCTGGGTTTTAGGGGGAAATGTGGGGTTCTAGCCAGTAGATATGTCTATACGGAGATAAAGAAATGTCGCCAACTTGTATCAGTCCACAGAGTAGTCGTTGTTCGTACTCGTTTACGGAATTTCCGCACCGAAGAAGACGATTGTACGAGCCGTACGCCAGTGTACAATGAAGTAAATTCTATCTCGACCTTCCAATGTGATGCTAGGCCAGCTGGATTCCATACTAGTGCTAACGTTGGGTTTGTGTGGATTTTCATCGCTTTTAAGGAGTCTGGATTGTACTATGGAGAGATAAGAATATGTAGCTTTCTTGTCACAGCCCACAGAGAAAACGTTGTTCGTACTCGTCTCCGGTATTTCTGTGCCGAATGAGTCGACGCACCAACAACGCTCGCTGGTGCACTGCTGCGGCACGAATGTGCCATCCGCCAGTTTTACGGTGAGGAACATTTTATCCCGACCTCCACATTGTCACGCTTTCAAAGTTCAATGTGAAGCTTGGTTTAGCTATATTCCACTCCAGTGTTAATGTTGGTATTGTCTGAATTTTCGTGGCTTTTGTGGACCCTGGATGGTAGTATGTAGGGATAAGAAAATGTATTTTGAAAATAAGAAAATTTCACGAACTTGTCACAGTCCACAGAGGAGGCGTTGTTCGTACTGGTCTCCGGTATCTCCGTGCCGAAGGAGTCGACGCACCAGCAGCGGCCGCCGGCGCACTGCTGCGGAATGAAAGCGCCGTCCGCGCGGCACGACGGCGCCGGCAGAGCTAGCTTCATACCGTCCACGGTTCCCTCCATCTTCTCGTCGAAATCTCGCAGGTATTCGCACACTAAACAATGAAACGTGCATTTGCAGTGAGGATCAGTCAACGCAAGCGGTCGCTATATAGCTATTTGACGACAATATTGTAACAAACGTTATTGTAACTGTGTCAGACTAAGTCGTCAATAAGTGTTTTCCTTTCTTTATAATAAGTTTATAGCTCTAATCACTTGGTCGACAGTATCAAAGACACCTAAACATTTTTTTTTATAAATAGAAAAACTAGCATATAAATGATACCGCCTAACCTAGTTGTCCAGTGTGACTGTGTGTATAATCCAGATCCGAAAAATAGTAGTCATTTTTGGCAAGCTAAACAACAACGCCTTCAGGTTTGTGCTGTGTTAAGTAAGATTACCTAATCATAGTACAGTTATACAATAATGGTGGTTGAAGTTTTCTCAAATTTAGAGGATGATAATCTCAAAGGATGGCACACTAAATCGAAGATGTACTTTATTCTTACAGTTGACGGCCTCCGTAGCCGAGTGGTACGTACACCGGGTTTCAAAGTGTCGCCTACTTGTGAGGTCGGGTTTGAATCCCGGTGGAGCAAATGTTAGTATGATGAATAAGAGCATTTGTACCTAAATTGTGGATGTTTATTCTAAATAAAAAATATACTATATTATGTTTCAGTAATGCATTAAATTTATTATTATCCCATAAAACAAGCCTTTCAGTGCTTACTTTGGGGCTAGACTAATTGGTGTGAGTTAGATATAAAGGTTTCGCTTACTTGTAGGGGTATCATCGACTCTGTCGGTTTGTAGCCGCATCTTGGCGGCGTCCACACATATGGGGCCGCAGTTGGCAGAGCAGCAGACCAGGTCATTGTCACACGTGCCTTCCGCACAAGTCATTGTGGTGTTCAACTCGCAGAGGGCTTCGGCTTCTACGCTACACGAGTTTAAGTTCAACTGAAATGAAAGACAAGTTGCGATTTAAATAAGATAAATGTGTTATTAATGAATTTAAAAAAATATACAATCAAATAACTGAGCATTGCTGTATAATCTCCACTCAATCTCCAATCTCAACCACCCCGTTACAGAAAACCACATTAAAATAAAATTACCTATTGGTGGTGTTGTGTTTCTGTCGGTGAATAAGGTTCCTGGGTTCTTCGGGATAGGGCATTGGCTCAGGTAGGCAACGGCGAAAGGGATACTATTGGTATCGCAAGCATCTGTAGGCTATGGTGACCGCTTACCATCAGCGGTCTATATACTTGCTTTCCATCCTTTTAACTTAAAAAGTTAGCTTTTCCTCAGTTGCTAGGATTCATATTTAGTGAGATTACTTTATTATTTTATTTTTCTATCCTACTGCTTCCATTGTGGAGTGTCTACTCTGTGATTGTCTTCCCTGGCGAGAAAACAATCACATGAAACACAAAGCAGATTAGTTAACCTCTATAGATTCTGCATCGGTCGAGTTGTCCAAGTAGCTCTCTGGACAACAGACGGCGATGCCACTGCGTCGGGCTCTGGTACATGAGTGGCCTCCGGGACAGTCCGGGTCGGCGCCGCAGCCAATAACACTGCCTTCCTCGTCCGTCGCTGGCACGCCCACCTCGCAAGGATTCTCGTATGACACCTTCGGTCTGCCTGCAAAAAAAGTTGATTCAATTTAGATAGACAGTGATTGTGTATTATGTGGATAGTTAAAAACTCTCTTCCCAAACATGATTTAATTTGCAATAATTATATCATGTTTGGAAGATATTTGTGATCTAAACTCATATATCGTTAAAAATGGGAACCAGATATAAAGAAATGGTAGAGACGGGTATATGCTTTCGCTATCCACATAATATGACCATGAACGCTTAAGTCAGTAACCATAACCTGCACAGTATGCCTCACTTCTCTTAAACCTAAAAGACTTATGCAATATTTATAAGGATATCCAGTGCAAAGCTCCCCAGAGCACTCTGCGTCTTTGACTCGCACGCACTCCTCGCCGTCGGGAAAAGGGAAGCAGCGCAAGGCTCGTAGCATTCGCAGGTGGGGCAGCCATAGGCTAGAAATAGGACAGCCATCTTGTAGCGCATAAGGCCCGACTTAAGGTAATATTTACAGGCGCTGTTGAGACAGGGTAAGTCGGCGCAAGGGTCGTTGCACTTGCAGGTGGGATAGCCATTGGTCTTGTAGCCGTATACGCAGACTCTGGCATATGAGGCTTGATGTAAGGCAATACTTACCGACAGGATATCCAGTGCACAGCTCTCCAGAGCACTGACTCACTCTGGCTGAGCGAAGTCGGCGCTAGGGTCGTCGCACTCGCAGGTGGGGCAGCTGTCGGCGATTGTGATGTAATTATACTCGCAGAGTAATACTTACAGACAGGATATCCAGTACACAGCTCCCCAGAGCACTCTGCGTCTCTGACTCGCACGCATTCTTCGCCTTCGGGACAAGGGAAGCCAGCGCAGGGGTCGTCGCACTCGCAAGTGGGGCAGCCGTCGGCGCCGGTTTTGTAGCCATATTCACAGACGCCGGCGCATAAGGCACGGCTGCAGGTTGTGAGACTGCGGGCGCCGGAGCGGGCGGGTCGGGGAGAGGGGGAGCAATGCACACCCGGAGACGGACCCATGGAGCCACGCAGCTTGTTACCTTCAGAGTCCACGCACCTAGACAGATATAGTAGGTTGTTAGAAAACACAAAGCATAAACAACTTAGTAAGTTATAGTTTTTTTTAAAAGGAGAGTGCAAAGAAAGAAAAGAAGCCTAGGCACTATTTTATTTTATTATATTGTTTTTCAGGATCCGTAAATAAATCGATCAAAGTAGATTGCTGTCGTTGTTCGAATTGTATTTCAGATATAATGGATATTGATTTGATTCGTACTGGCAGAAACTACAAATCATTGAAATCAATAGTAAGCAATTTATGTACCTATATTTAATGAAACAATCTTAGAATGCAGTACGACCAAAAAATTCTTCATCGTACTACATGTTAGCGTTTTTTATCACTTTCTGAATTAAAAAGAATAAATGAAAGTAATATCTTACTTACCAGCAAACCAGTCCATTCCGGGAGCACTGCCTGGACTGGAACGAGCCGTCGCTAGCGCACTGCGGAACATATCCCTTCCCTTCCCTCTCGCTCACGACGAGCAGTTCAGCCAACATCTTCTGTTGCGTGCACATCGTCACATTGTGCGGTAACGTGCAGTGTCTCCCACACTCTCCACCGTCGCAGCATTTCTGCATCGAAGGACATTCCAAGTCGTGCGCGCAAGGAGTACCACATTCTACCTCCTCACTGTCCGGCGCTGGGCATGTGCCTGCTTTCTGCAGTTCCAGAGATGCTGGACAGCAGACGCCGTAATCGTTTCCTTGAAAGAAAGGTCTTACATTAGAATCTGGGTTACATGCTGTTTGTTAGTCAAGATCTAAGAACATTTATCTTTGTTTGTTAACCTCATTAGTTTGAACTGTGATGGTTTATGACTCGTAATAATAAACTTTTCAAATGAAAATTCAATGGAAAATTACCCTTGTATTGCCTTATTGATTTACTTTAATATACTTTTAAATACACAAGTCAATAAAATTACCTGACTCAACAAGGCATCTGTAAAGCGGTGGACAGTTTGGTTTTCCTGGGTCCGTGCCGCAGAGGAACGGGCGACTGGTTTCAGATATCAGCAGAGGTTCTCCCGCTGGACAAATGTTCTGTAGACTACGACCTCTTTTGCCTGAAATTAAATGAAATTTTAATTGTTATAATTTAATGTGTTTGTGTTTGAAAAAGGTTGAGAACTAAAATATTATCGGAATAAAAGATCAACTACATTATTGAAAAACCTTTGGATGTAGCCATGTGCCACGTTACTCTATGAAAATCCTCAATAAAAAATATCTTTTTTTCTCGTTATTTACAGTCTTCTGCTAAGTATGTAAAATAATGGCAGGCGGCCTGGGCTCGAAATTTCTCCCATCTGACTAGTTGTTTGGGATAAGTAATAACTCGTAACAAGCAACGCACGGGCCATGCATAGCATTCGCCAATTTTCTTTGTACCTGGATTCTACTAATCTTGAATCTGATAATATAACTTACATGTAGGCACGGGAGGGCAAGGCGGTCTCAAGCACGGTGTCTCTTCCAGCTGACACGAGAGTTGTCCGGGGCAAGTAATAGACGTGCAGGGGTCACGGCATTTGCATAGGGGGCAGCCACGTGGGTCCAGCTCAAAGCCGAGTGGACACAGCATACGGCAGGTGTGCGCCGCGCATGATGATACGCGGGTGCAGTTGACTAGCCCGGCCGCCGGAGCTCGGGTGCCGGGCACCTGAAAAGATAAACTTAACATATAGGCACCAGAACTCAAGACATCGAGGCTTCATATAACTAAGAAGATAAGGGCACTACGTTACGCTGCGTTTCCTTCTCAAAGTGACCTGCAATTTTATTATCAGGCTATTAATGTCCCTACTGCTGGGTAACAGGCCCTCACTATGGATGGAATATGAAGAATTGACCATGACCCACTAAGTCAGAATAGTACGGAATGGTGTATGCTAACGACTGTTGATCTAGTCGGGATTGACGGCTTAATGCACCTTCTGAAATATGGAGGCTTTGATATAAAAAAGCTTTGTCAACCCATCCTTTACTCACCACCGTGAAAGTTGATTAACTTCCACGATCGCAGGCCGAAAGTGCTAATTACATAACAACCACATGTTTATTGATTCGCAAAATGTATTCTTTCTCAACGAAGACTCTTACTTACATTACTACATTTTTGTTTGTCATGACTTGAAGAAATCCTCACCTCTCTATTTCGTTGTAGTAATGTATCTCCTCGAACTCCCCGACGGAGGTCCGACAGTGGGGGGAACGCACGGCCTTCAGAAGCCCACATCCGCCGCGGCTGTTCTACGCCGCCAGCGCTCGCGATATTCTCTCCGACGACAGTCTCATGTTATGCCGTTTATTGACTTGAAGAAATCCTCACCTCGAATCCAGTGGCGTCGACGCACCAGCATGAGCTGACTATCTCGTTGTCGCACTGTATCTCCTCGAATTCCCCGTCAGAGGTCCGACAGCGAGGGGAACGCACAGACTTCAGAAGTCCGCGCCCACCGCGGCTGTTCTCCGCTGCCAGCGCTCGCGATATCCTCTCCGATGACAGTCTTACGTTCTCACAGCCTGTTGAAGACAAAAATTGATCCGTGATGAGAAACGAAACGGGGTGATATTTGAATATTATTCTTGTACATAATGTTAATTTTAGTTATTATATTATATTTTATAAGGTTTTTAGTTTTAGGTTCATTGTTCCTCTATATATTTTTTTAAATCCATAAGTTTGTATTATTTAAGTTATTATTACTAGTTTGTATTTTATAAGTTATAATTAATTTTATTGTACCAACAAAATAAACTTTTTTGTTTTAAGACTTATTGTGAAAAGAAAATTATATTTTATTTGAGAGCTGCAGTCATACACCATTATCCTGTAGTATTGTGTTCTGTATTACTTTTCCTGCAGAGAATACGGTTGTCAAAGTTTCATCTAGTAGAGTTGATGGTGGAATGATCTAGGGCTGGAATACACGATCGATGTTACTAGTGTCCCAAAAATTTAGGTTACGTTGGTCTGCTACTAACAGACGACTAGCAATTTTTTGTTAATATACTACTTATACCCTTCTTACCTGTATATAGCGGGTCGACGCATGCGCGTCCGCACGTAGTGCTGCAACATATTTGCTCCCCGCAATCATCGTCGCTGCCGCAAGGCGATGCGCGCGCAGGACACGGCCCGTCTTCCGCTGGACATCTGCCTTGGAGCTCACCACTCGCTATAAACATGAAAATGTTCCGGTTTAGGTAGTTTTTAAACGATAGACTTTCCACAGGTTGCGTCCAAATCATTTGCTGAAGTATAGTATTATTCGTAAAAGCAATTAGAGAATAAAGAGTTGTCATTTTAGGCGCGGAACACAGACAAAGCGGAAGACGTATATAGGGCGCAGATATTATTCTCAGTTTTATTCAAAATGAAGATGCGTCGTGTTCGTGTCCTGTCTTTTCTTTAAGTTATGTGATGTGGCGTTTATATACAGACTGTCCTGCGCCTGAATATTTCTCCGATATTTTCGCGTTCAATGGGCTAAAATTTGCGTTTGCAATTTGAATTTAGGTCATTTCGCATTTTGAATTATCGAGCTGCGTGTTTAAAGACAATCCAAATCTAAAGACGTTAGAGTCCGTTAGCCGATAGCTTGCCTGGCGATTTTTGAAAGAGGTTGGGGGAGATGATAAATTTGTATGTGTATTTGAAGGTGCGTACTTACGATAAAATGTATTAAAATTTGGAACCCGCATTTCAGCGCATTTTAGTACCAAAACTTCGTTGCTTAAGTGTGTGAGAAGCATATAAGAAATATGTGTTTACCGTGATGCAGAAGGAACGCAGCGCAGAGCAGCGCCGCCTTCATCGCCATTGCTGCATTACACACGCCACCTCTGGTAACAAAAAATATTATTCTCATTAAAAGTTTTAACTACAATGGCTCTTAATACACATGAAACGGAGCACGCTGCCGTCAAGCGGCGATGAGTACAGTGCGAACCAAACTTTATGGCTGTTGTGAGGGTACGAGTAACAGCGAAGCAACTATAAAGTTAAAGTGAAAATCAATCCTTAAATAGTAATATTTGTTTCTTAAGTTCTCAAGCACAGCACTCATGAAATAAAACAAGTATTGCATCCTTTTCAGACTGATAATTCTGACGACGCAGCCTGAAAAGGATGCGAAACGTCATCACTACATAGTATAAAGCAAAGTCGCTTCCCGCTGTCTGTCCCTATATACATAGGTCACAATATATAGATCATCACTACATAGTATAAAGCAAAGTCGCATCCCGCTGTCTGTCCCTATATACATAGGTCACAATATATAGATAATCACTAAATAGTATAAAGCAAAGTCGCTTCCCGCTTTCTGTCCCTATATATATACATAGGTCACAATATATAGATCATCACTACATAGAATAAAGCAAAGTCGCTTCCCGCTGTCTGTCCTTATGTATGCTTAGATTTTTAAAACTACGCAACGGTAAAAAAAACCGCATCAAAATGCGGTTTTTTGTAAATAGATAGAGTGATTCAAGAGGAAGGTTTATATGTATAATACATGCATAATATAGTAGTAAAATACTGTTAATTTTACAGAATTTTAATGTAAGGTCGTATATAAACACTTTTTGCGCTTACATTGCAAACGCTGGCTGAACCCTACGAGATAGATCAAAATAATGTACTACAGTATTTTACACCTTAAAAAGGTCTACAAAAATCCGTGATGGTATAATTGTCTATCTCCTAGGGATAACCCACAATAACCATTTTTTATCCTTTACTTATTACGAGAAAATAATGGCTTATATACGAAAAAGCCTCGATTTTAAGCAATACAGTATTAAACCTTATCCAATTAAGTACCTTAAATACATTGTGCATGTAATATAGATCAATATGGCCCTTTACAGCATGTAACTTAAATGAATATTTTCGAAGATATTACAGATTTAAAATGCAGGAACATGCCGGTTCGGACGGTACTCCCGGGCCAGTACCGGCGGCGGTGGCGCGTGCCTATAGTAATAATTAGGTACCTATTTAAAGAAAGTCATTGCGTTTAATACAAGCCTCAGATCAAAAACTATAATCTAAACTACAGCTCTACACCGAAGCGAAGCGAGGGCGGGTCACTAGTAAATAAATAAATCAGTGCATCTATACCGTTTTTTGTTTTAATTAAATAGCACTGCTTGGTAGTGTACATATATTATGTGTATGTTGTTTATATTAACTAGTATCTTCCAAAATATTATCTTTGTGAAAATGTGTCATTAATCTCGAGAGGTGGAGGCCAGGACATTCCATACAATTGCGTCTACCTATTTTGGACTCCTGTCTTCCATTCCTGACTAGTTAAGATACATTTCTGTGTCATGCATTATTTTGTTATCTTCTAGCTTGTAATGGAAGAAATGTAGTAACATTCGTTATTATTATTAGCGAATGAAAACTATGCTCAAGTTTAAGGTTTCAGTTCAAGGAAACCTGTACCCCTAGCACGAACCATTATCGAATTCGAATAGTTTGCGAGTGCGAAATGTCAATGTCAAATTTTGAATGGAAACTTGAACAGCAGTGCCACAAAGATTGTAACGAGAACTATAAATCAGTACAGATTTGACAATGACATTTCGGACTCTCACAAACGTTACGAATTCGATATTGGTTCGTGCCTTAGCACAGGAAGCTATAGAGAACAGTCAATGTGACATATCTAAGTAATCTTTTTATCAACTATCGTGTGGATCCATTTTGAAATTCAGGCTCAGAACTTAAGTATGATAAGCTATCGCGGAAGAATTCATTATTTCTACTAGGCATATTTTGCGATTTTTTCGAAGTTATAAATATATTTCTTTAGTTCTATGTTTAAAGTTTTTGTTAAAGAATTAAAAAAAAAATGTTCATATATGTAAAGCTACATTTACTACTCATGTGGTTTAGCTACGTAAAGTTTTGGAACTCTCAAACAAGTAATCGAGGAACGATTAAGTATCTATTTGAAACTTCAATTCAATTTCGTCTTCTTTGTATTATTTTGTGGTGTTTAAAGAACTTTCGCTAATTCATTCAGAATTTCAAGAAACATATTATGAAAAATAAATTAAACGTTTGAACATAGGTACATAATTATTATAATAATACTGAAAACCCACTGGCAATAAAAAGAATGACATCTCAAGAGCGGTTATTCTTTTTAACGTGTTCTGAATTTCTGATATCCTCAGCATTTGCATAAACTGACATAACACTATCATCTTTACACTTTGTATTAAAACTCTATCTCTATCTCTCTAACTCTACTCTAATCATTCAAAAATTTCCTTCATCAATAAAAATTGATCATGCGGAATTTTAAGTTTTAAAGAGTGTATATAGGAACATATGGCAGTTTTTGTATTGATACGGTATTTTCCAGCACCACGACTGGTCTTTTTTGTTATTAAGGTGTGACTGCTCTTAATAATCCGCAAAGTAAGGAAATTTTTACTTTACAATCCGCACTGGGCCGCAATCCGTATATTGGATTATGGCATCTATCTGTATGAAATATTACTGTGAAATGAAATGAAATGAAATATCATCATCATCATCAACCTATTAATGTCCCCAATGCTGGGGCACAGACCTTCCCTGTGGATGGTATAGGGAGATTGGGCAGCGACCCACCGCGCGGGCCCAGCGCGGATAGGTGGGTGCTAACGACTGCAGACGCAGCCGAGATCAACAGCAAAGGTGCCTTGCAAAGAGGAGATACAAAATTTTTGGTCACCCATCCAATGACTGACCCCTGCGAAAGTTGCTTAATTTCAACGATCGCAGCCGAACGTGCTAACCTCTTGCGACATCGAGCTCCTCGATCTTTCTTCTTTTTTGATACTTAGGTGCGACTGCTCTTAGCAATACACAAAGTAAGAAAATTTTCACTTAACCACTTTTTGAACCAGAACAATCCGCACTGGGCCTGCAGTCCGCATGTCCGTCCGTGTGCAAGATTATGGCGCGTTCGCCCTAAACTAATCTATCTGTATGAAATATTTACAGTCAGATGAAATGAAAATAAAAATATACTTTATTCAAATTAACTTATTGTAAGCTCTTTTGAATCGTCCAATATTATTTCCTACCAGTCATTCAGGACATATTTTAGCTGATGAGAAGAATGGGCGCAAGAAACTCATCAGCATTCAACAGAAGTAGCAACATTAACAAAAAAATAAACATATTGTCGCTACCAGACAAAAGTCCACTCACATTTTGATTGCCGTGTCATACAGTAGAAATACAAATAGTGTTCTATTGGGTATTAATATTTCATTATTAGGTATAACAGATAACAATCTCAATAATAACGCAGTATAGAGCAGACTGATCCTCGCTGGCAGCACCCGTTCACGAGCATTACGCATGAACCAGCCATCGCTTCGCTCAACCATATTTTAGGGAACGTAACGACCCCCTCACACGACTGTAACTGTAATGTACCTCATGGGAGCGCACTTTATTGGCAAATGATGATGAGCCATGAATTATTAATGGGATATATGAAATGTTTCTCTGAATATGTTTATAAGTACACGAATGATTTTATGACTAGTGCAAAACTTTAAAGGGAATCTGGCATAGACCACTGAGAACCATTTGAGCCCTGTTTATCGTCACCGAAGTACTGTTTTTTAATTTAAGTAAGCATCCCAAACTGATACAAGTAGAACGAATGAATTAAAGAACCATAATTTTGATATATCATCATGAACATTCAAACTGGTCATTATTTGCAATAAATTCTCTTAACCAACTCTATTAAAAAAACTCATAAACATTAGGTTAAAAAAATATCGTACTTTGTTAAATACTTCAAACATAGCTCAAATGGTTCTAAATGATCCACATATGCAAGCTTCCCTTTAAAGTTTTTCACCCTTCTTCCATTATTTACATAATATGGTGCGTTTGGTTTTCTAGAACTATTTACTTACCCAATTACCTACAGTAATCGTAACGGCGTTGAAACTCAGAAAGTTTAAAATCGATCTTAATTATTTGATACTATTAGTAAGAAGTTGCTACCAAGCACTATTATGCAGGCCATACACAATAGGTTACGCATGTGCAGTTTTGACTGTACAGGCAAAACTGCACATGCATAACCTATTATTGTATATGGCCTGCATTAAGAAAATAAAACGCAAAGTGAAATAAGTACTTAAAAGTTTGGTATTGTGTAAAACATCGTTTCCTCACAATAATGTAATGTAAGTGCATCGCCAAACATAAACCAAATCGTCGATTGCTCATTAAAAATATTATGCGTGTGAATCACGCCCAACCTTGCGACTATAATTGATGAGTTAAGAAACCTACGTTATTTAAGCCAGACCTTGGCACCTGTCAGACAGCATACAGACGAAGAATGCTCAACATCTATATTGATGCGCAATGCCTGACGGAAAAAACAATTTTATTTGAGGATATCGAAGTATGTATTGTTTTTTAAACTGTAGTAATATTTGTTTCTTAGGTTATTCTGACGACTTTCTGACGACGAAGCCTGTAAAGGCTACGAAACGTCAATAAATAAATAAAGTTTCGTGCATTAACCCGTAAAAACTAGTTTTATGTAGTAATATTGCGTAAATACAACTTTATTAACAAAGGGAAATACATAAATATTTCTCAAAAAATAGATAAACGATCACCTTAAAATATAGTTAGTAACTTAAACGGTTAGGTTAGGTTAGTAATTTGTATTTTATGTACCAATTCTACTGTAATGAAACCAATTGTATATTATGTGGATCAATTACTATATTATTAATGATTATTTAAATATTTGTCATTCGAAAAGACACCGGCCGATTTCGTAAACTAGATAATAATAATTAT